TGCTTCTAATCTAAAGCTTCAATTACATGTAATTAGAACCAACATCCCAGAGCCAAAACCTTTGCCACAAGAAGCCAGAGGCTTTTCATTCCTTTAAAAAAAAAACCTAGAGAACCCCAGCAAGAAGTCTTCTTGGTAATCATAAGTCTGTATATTTTTATGCCATGAGGAAAAAGGAACTGTTTTAGGTATGAACAGATTCACAAAAAACAAAGAATGGCCCATTGCTTAATGAGTCAATTCCTCCCCGACTCAGTTGCTATTCTGGTTGGCCCACTTTGGTCTTAAACTGTTCTCTGGCTATCACTGTCTCCCACACAGTCACAGCACTCCTAAATACAAAACTGGAAAAGCCAGTGTTCATGCTGCCTGTCATCCACGAGACCCAATAAGTAGAGACAGGGACTGAATCTTTCTGGGCACTTTATTCAGATGGCCTGGCCAGCGATCTGAGAAGATGGCATGTTTGTACCCTAATAGACCATCTTAAATTCCATTTTTAAATGGCCCTTTTTATAAGGAGAACAAAGTGTAGGTAAGGGGCTTGGAATGCAGGGAAAAATTAATTGGATTAAAAAAACAGTGGCATTCTTGCCCTGGGTGGTAGGCATCTCACCCTGGGGTGCAATGGCTCAGATACCATCTTGGTTGCTTGCAGCCTCCTGAGGCACAAAGGTGGAACTGCTTAAGGTCTCCTGGAGTCTGGGTGGGTCATACCTTCAGTTCCTAGAAAAATAACTTTTACAGGCATTGCTTACTAAGCTTATTAGCTATTACTTAAACTAAAATTTTCCCCTATGTGAGCCCCCCATCAAAGACACAATCGAATTTTGATGTTAACCTAACAAACTGTGAAATTTTATACTATGCCTCAAACAGAGAAGGCTGGGCTTAGACTAAACCTGGACTCTTTGCTCCTGTTTCAATACAAGGGGAGTGTCATGCCTGTCTTACTGCCACTGATCACTTTTCAAACTCAATGTTAACTTGAAAAATTATTTGTTTTTCAAAATTATTGATCTCCTCTTTTATGAAGATATGTTCTGTTTTGTTTAGAAAAAAATAGTTGACTTGGAATATACAGTAACAGGAGAAAATAGAAAATTCTTCTTTGTTATGTGTTCTTGTTCACCCACGTGACTCTTTGGTGTTGTTTATGATTATAGACAATGAAGGAAACAAGAGAATTTATCACCTTAGTAGGTATTAAAAATGTTTGTCTTCCCATTCACTGACAATCTATTTTATATCATACAATTCCCTTATAATAGAGTTGTTATACATTGTTTTACTCTCCAAATGACTTAGACATGGAAACGTTTGGCTCACACTGAAGTCAAAACTGCCATTTTCTCTTTCAGGGCCCAGCTACTCACCTGTGAAAATTTTTGTTGTTGTTGCTGTCTTATTCTAAGATTCGGCCTTAGGTAGGAGTAAACTGAATCAATCAAACAAACAAAACTTAGTGATTAATAGGGCGACTCTTTGTATTGGTCCAAGGATGATCTTCTTGCTTTCATGGCTCATGGAATAAAAAAGATAAACATAAAAAATAACAGCATGAATAATAGATAAATAATTAATGTGTGAGTATGAGTTCTTTTAAAATGGTCTATTTTGTCACACCTGCCCCATTTGTCAAGCCTATGTTTTACGGAGCCAGTAAAGACATAATGTTTCTATAGAAGAACACAATGTACTAATTTTAGTAGTACATGCTTTTTTAAAGAAAAATCAAATGACTCTGCGTTGGGCTTTTAGAGTGGTATTATCTTAAAGCACATGTCCCTGTTCATGGAATGAGGTATAACATAAACAAGAAATTTCTGAGTGGAAATAATACGGAAAATAACTTTTTCAATGTATAGAGTCAAAACATTAGGAACTAAAATATTATTTTAAATCTTAAAAATGTGATAAAAAACATACATAATTGTTAAATTACAACAAAAAGCAGTGGTTATTCAAGTTATGTATTTCATAAATCACATGTGTCTAGACTACCTTAGCTAGTAAAGACCTGTGTATACTCCTTGGAAGGAATACTACACACATATGAGTCAGTGTACAACCATAGGCTAATAATATAAGAAAGAGTCTACCTAATTACAATAGAATAAACTTTGGAGTCTAAGTCCCACGTAATGATATACTAGGAAATTGGAGAGGAAGATGGTACAAGATATATAGATAATTCTAGGGTTTATTGTCAGTTTATATGTAAGTGGTACTAATAAAATACAACTTCTTTGTACAAATAAATATACCCTCTTCCTTATAGGATCCAGGTAGCTACTACCTTCTTTGGTTCCTTTCTAGAGTCATGTGCTTCTGCCCTTGGGTAGTAGCAAAAAAGAGAGGAAGATCCCTGTCCTTCACTTTCCCCACTTCTTTCACAAGACTCTTCTGGTATGGGGTCCTCTTTTGCTCAATTGGCTCCTCCAAACAGTTTTCATCCTCATCCTTTCCCAAGAGCTGGAGCCCAAGCCCTACTACGCATATGGGAATATGCTTAGGATTTGACTTGGGCCATTGACCTCGACACAGTAATAGTTGCTGCTAGCTTATTGAGATGATGCTCTCACATTCCTGAGGGCTCAATTCTGTGTCTCCTCCCAAAGTATGGAAACCACACAAGGACTAGCCCAATACCTCTTGGACTTTAATACTACCATATTTTGAGAATAAAGGGAAAGATAAAATTTAAAAATAAGAAATACTCCAAATCTTTCTTCATCAAGATGGCAAAGAATTTTTAAGATACCTAGAAATGAAACTATGGTTTCTGATGAAGACAACAATGTGATACAGTAGAGGAAAATAGTTTTTTTCAATAAATGGTACTAGATTAATAGAATATCCATACAGGAGATGTATAGAGATGTATATACATGTATTTGTGTGTGTGTGTGTGTATATACATATATATATATGTGTATATACACACACACATATATATAATACAAAAAATAAGTTCCAATGGAGTACATATCTAAACACAAAATATAAAACAATGTTTTCAGAAGAAAACGTAAGAGAACATCTCTATGTTCATTATCTTGGAGTAGGCAGAGATTTTTTAAATAGGACACAAAAAGCACTAACCATGAAATCTAAAAACTAGACAAACTTGAATATATTAAAATTCCTACTTGGTGTCAAAAATCATCATTATGAGAGTGAAATCAAACTATAGAGTAGGATGCCATTCACTATAAACATATTTGTTAAAAGATTCATATCCAGAATATACATATTTAAGAACCTTAAACAATAATGAGAAAAAGACACACAACCCAATAGAAAAATAAACAAAAAACTTGAATGACCACCGCACAGTAAAGAACATAGAATGGCTAATAAGGATGTAAAAAAGGGCATTCAACTTCATTAGTTATTAGGAAAATGCAAAATAAAACCGCAATGTATTACCACCACCCACACACAAGAATGGCTAAAATGAAAAAGATGGGGAAATACCAAATGAGAACATGGAGCAACCACTTGGAGAAATTGCTTGTCAGTATTTATAAAAGTTGAACCTGATAATATCTTCTTATTTAATAATTCTAACCTTAGTTAACATGCATGTGTCAACAAAAGACATGTTCCAGAACATTTAGTTACTCTATTCATACTGTACCTAAACTGAAATAATACATATGATCATCAACAGTAAAAAAGATGAATAAAATGTGTTATATTCAAGCAATCGAATATCACATAAGTGAGTTTAAATTAGAACCCTCAACTACACACAAGTAGATAAAACAAATAGTAGAAAAGGTAGCTAAAACAAAAAGTGAGTAGGAAAAAAAATGACACAAAAAGAGTGTCTGCAATATGATCCCATTCATATAAAGACTGTGAGCAATTTAGTTCTTTTATGGAAAACAGTATGGAGTTTCCTCAAAAAAAAAAAAAAAAAAAAAGGTGGGGGGAGCTAACTGACTTTTGACCCAGTGATCCCACTTCTGGGAATATACCCTAAGAATCCTGAAACACCAATCAGTAAGAATACATGCATTCTTATGTTCATTGCAGTGTTACTTAAAATAGCCAAGATCTGGAAACAGCTCTAGTGCTCATCAGTAGATGAGTGGTATATTTACAGAATGGAATACTGCGTTGCTGTTAAAAAGAGGGTACTCTTGCCCTTTGCTATATAGCATGGATGGACCCAGAGATTATAACACTACGCAAAGCAAAATAGGTCAGAGAAAGACAAATACTATATGATCTTACTTCTTTGTAGAATCTAATGAGCAAAATAAACTGATGAACAAAATAGAACCAGAGGCATGTATACAAGGAACAGACTGACAGATCTCAGAAGCAGAGGAACTTAAGGGTAGAGGGAACTGGCTAAAGGAAGGTGAAGGGATTAGCCAAAGAACCTTTGTGCGTAGTGCGCGCAGTGCGCACACACAAGAATGTGATGAAGACCAGAGGGCTGGGTGGAGGCAGGAAGAGGGGACAGCAGTTGTGGTGTCAACTAAGAAAAAAGTTTCTATCTTAGTTTCTCTTGGGAAATGGGGATAAGGGACAATGGAAGGTGACATGAGGGAGGGTTTCTGGGGGTGTGCAATATTTAGGTTCTTGATCTAAATCCTGTTACATGGGTTTATTCAGTCTCAGTGAAAATTTACCCAGCTGTATCCAAATTAAAAAGTTAAAACAGAAACAAAAGAATGACAAGAAGGGATCAACATTATGTTTAAAACCAAAGAGATCATAATAAACTCCACCTCCCCACCCCCTTAAGCCTTGTGCACGCACACGCACAATGAAGTGAAAGCCTCATTGGCTGGGACTAGGTGGCGCACTTCCGGAAGTCGCTCTTAATGCGACTTCTTCCGCCTCGTGGCCATTTCACCTTCCCGCCTCCGTGTCATCCAGCTCGGTGGCCTGGGCCCCAGTACTCAAGCTGCGAGATAAACAGTGTCTTGTGTGCCTCTTTCTGGGTCACCACCGTCAGGCTTCAGCTCACTACTACCGCCATTATGAACATCCGCAATGCTAGGCCAAGCGACCTGATGAGCATGCAACACTGCAACCTCCTCTGCCTTCCCGAGAACTACCAGATGAAATACTATTTCTACCATGGCCTTTCCTGGCCCCAGCTCTCTTACATCGCTGAGGATGAGGACGGGAAGATTGTGGGCTACATCCTGGCCAAAATGGAGGAAGACGGAGCTGCTGTCGCCCACGGACACATCACCTCCCTGGCGGTGAAGCGTTCACACCGGCGCCTCGGCCTGGCCCAGAAGCTCGTGGACCAGGCCTCCCGGGCCATGGTGGAGAACTTTAATGCCAAGTACGTGTCCCTGCATGTCAGAAAGAGTAACCGGGCCGCCCTGCGCTTGTATTCTGACACCCTCAACTTCCGGATTAGTGAGGTGGAACCCAAATACTATGCAGATGGTGAAGATGCTTATGCTATGAAGCGGGATCTCACGCAGATGGCAAATGAGCTGAGACGACCGCTGGAGCTGAAGGAGAAAGGCGGTTGTGTAGTGCAGGGGTCCAGGGAGACCAAGGAGGCCAGAGGCAGCACACTTCCTGGTTCTAAAAGGTCCGGTCAGAAGAAGAACCGAGCCCCTGGCAAAGGTGGCAGTGACCGCAAGGAACTCAATGAGTCCATGGAGCGCACCGATGCCCAGGATGGCCCAGAAGACTCAAATTCTACCTCCTAGAACCTGCTGAAGGTACTCTCTTTTCCTGCCCCAATTCCTTCCTACCCTAAATCCTTGCACCATACATCAGCCTGCCCGATCCCATCCTATCCCATCCCATCCTAGCTCTGCTGGTTTCACAGTGAAAACCACCTGGTGACCTTGAAGAGGGGCATAGATTGAGTTGGGGGAAACTCATTGCTCACTTTTGGAAGTTAACCGGCTTCCAACTCATATGCTGAAAGTAGATTAAATTCAATTTAAAAAAAAAAAAGCCCACAAGATTTATCCTGTCCTTTTAGTATGAATTGGATTTCAGGGCACCACCTAGTTGATGAAAGAAATGTCTTCTTTATAGAATTACTGCCGATAAATGCAGAAACAATGATATAATTATAAAATTACCATTTGGCAACTTTTGACGAAATAGTATATCTAGCTAATACTATTAGGTGAAAGTTGGAGCATTTTTTAGTGATTGATCAGACAAGTCACTCCTCAAGTGTAACATCACTAATAGGAAGACAAATATTATGTGCCTCCTAATGCAGTAGAAAGTACACAGCAACACCTATGAAATCTTTTTTGCAAAGAGAAAATTTGAATCCAAACAAGGCTCTAGATCTAACTTTTTAATTAAAAAAAAAAAAATAGAGGGGCCTTTTTTAACTGTACTGTGGTGTAATCAGTCAAATTCAGAATGAGAGATTTCTATAGAAAAAATGACCTGGTTTTCTTCAACAAGGAAATGTCATTTTTAAAAAGGGGAGGAGGGATTTATTAAAACAAACTTTATAGAGATACATTGACCAAACTCAACCATTGTAGACATTGTTTGGATCCTGCCTTAAACCAAATATAAGACATTTTGAGAGAACCAAACAAATTTTGAACATGGACTGACTGTATGCTATTAAGAAATTGTTAAGAATTTTGTTGGGTGAGCTGATTTGCATTATAGTATTATATTTAAACAGCCCTTTTATCCATTAGAGATGTATACTAAAATAATTGGAGGTAAAATAATAGAATGCCTAGGATTTACTTCAGCAAAAACGAAAACAGAAAGGGTTGGCAAGATAGGATAATTGTTGAAGTGGAATAATGGGTACTTGGGAGATTTGTTATGTTCTTTATTGTTCTGAATGGGTGAATATTAACAAGTTAAAGGACAAAAACAATGATTGTACTTCCTTATACACACTAACACTAAGAAGCTGCTAAAAAAGTATTGTCCAAGACTAACATCTATCAAGGAACTTCATACAACACCTTAAGAATTTCAGGGGTCAGTGAGCTACTGTCAGTTTAGAAGCTTTAACTTGTAATTCTAGTCACCTTACCTTTACTTGTGAAAAAAGGCAACAACTTTCTCATAACAAAGTCTAGTCATGAGTGGCGTATAATTAAATGCTGTCTGATTAATTTACTCATTCACAAAAATTTTTGTCAGACAAGAGACTGATGGTTTGGTCATTACCAGGACAAGCTGATGTTCACATTGCAGCATTTAAGAATAAATGGACTGTATTTTTTATACAGTTTAATGCTGAAACTCATTATATTGCACACTAACCTTGTTTTATTTTCATTCATTTATAGTTCCATAGGTTATAAAACTTTAGACATAGAAAGTTCTTGGGGGTTAGAGTGTCCTCAGAGGAGTCTTTGCATCAGGTTTTTAACAACCTGAAGGTTTCATAATGACTGATTTGTTTGGTCTAAAGTTAAATGCAGCGAAACAGTCTAAAGTGGAAGGTAAACATTAAAGAAAACTTAGGCCTTGGGAGGAGCATTTTCAAATATACATCTGTGTTGAAAATCTGGAGGGCCTTGTATTTTGTTTAAATCAATACACCTTTCTAAAAATTAACTTCCAAATTCTTATATAGAAGAAGTTACATAATATTTATCTCATCTTTGTGGTCATTGGATTCTTTAGTGTTAAACTCCAGTCAAGGAGGAATTTAAGTAGAATAGAGCTAATTGGAGATTTCATACTCTCTTTATATAAAAAATATATTAAAATATAATTTGTAGATATCATTGGATGAATTCAAGAGCACTTAATATTGGCTCTGAGAAACAAAAGTAACTGCCACCCTAGTAGAGGAAGAGAGAAATAATTAATAAGAAGATCATTGTGGCAGTTAAAAGTCTCAGTATGCAAATGTACAAATTCAGGAATAATTAAAATGTTTCTTTATATTACTGTAATATAAAAAAAGGGACCCTCCCTGACGTCATTTAGGAACCCATCTGGAACAGATGTTCTTGTTGTGCTCCCTAGTACCTTTTGGCAAACTGGTGGTGCCTCAAGACCCCTTTTCAGAAAGTTGATTTTAAATCATGTGGGATTACAAAGGAAACCAATTTTATTGAACTACAGTTACAAACTATTTTAAAATAAATGTGTTTTATATATACTTTATTAGCATATGAAATAAGAAATCTAGCAGTGGGTCTAGTAATTACTGTTATTTCTAAGAAAATTTGAGTGTAAATGATATTTTGAGATACCCCAAACAGTAATACAATATGAAGGTACCTGTGGCTTTTATTGGTGACAAATTCATAAAAATTATTAATACTATGCATTGGTGCATACATTCATAATTGAAGGGAATGTTAAATTTCAGTTAGAGATTGGTGAAAATGCAGACTTTTTTTTTGTTGTTCCAAATCCAAGGTCATGCTTTCCTAAATTCTCTTGGTGGATCCCAGGTTAGGAATTCCTGATTCAGTGATTGTAATATTTTCTAGAATCATACATCATTTACTGGTTCATATACTTTCAGCTTCCAAATAAGAGAAGAGCATGCACAGAGAGGTTCACATAGGTTTTAAAATGTCAGTCCTGTTTCCCAACCGCAGGGGAGGCTAGGAAATGGAGTTTAGCTGTGCGCCCTGGAGAAAAAAGTAAAAGGTATGAATTCTGGTAACCACAGGGCACAGTTCCTGCCACAGTGGGAAGAAATGTGCTTGTGGTACTATGAAAATCCTGCCTCCATGCCCAGCTAGGAACACAGGATCATTCTGGTGCTTTCTCTACATGACTTGGCACAGAAAATCCTGTCAGGGTATTTGGGCTGTCTGCTTAGTCACATGACATGTGTCTTCTGTTCTTGCACAAACCTGGGCATAGGAAACTGGGATTCTGCCATCTTGCTGACTTATGCCTCTCTTTAAAGTCTGGAAGAAATAAATAAATCCCAGTGTACAAATGTACAAATCCCTCTAGTCTGAAAATCTCCAAAACTTCTAATGCTTTAATTACCTTCTGTCACCTTCATCCCATTTAACAGGGATTCTTTGGTACATACAGTAATTGCCTGAATGGGAAAAGGTTACTGTGAAGAAAGAGAATAGGAAAAATAAAAAAGGTTAATACAAAAAAAGTATAGTCCTGCCATAACTGTGGTGCTCCCTCCTTTGGAGGTAGACTTTTGACACTTACAGAAAAAAAATAATTTTTTGAAAGAAATAACTTTTTTTTTAATCTCTTCTTTTGGGTCTGGGGCAACAGACACAGTTGGCCTAAGTGATGGTGAGTAGGCAGTTGGTGAAGGAGATTGGGTGTCTCCCTCTACAAAGTGGTAATAAAATTTACCACTAACACTATGTGAACTCACTGTGTTACAAGTGCTATTTAAGGTGCCCATGAACTGTGTCATTTAATCTTACGATATCCCTCTGAAGTAGGTACTCCTGCTCCATTTTATAGACGAGGGCTATATGTCATATGGATCATGAATGAAAAAACAGGGATGCAAACTCAGATAGTCAGACACCATGATGGTGAGGGTTAAATGAGACAGTCCCTGTAAATTGCTCAGCACAATACCTCAAAGACAGTTAAATATCCTAAAATTTTAGCTCTTAAATGTGTAGAATTGTAACCATTCAGGTTCTTTTCTTCTCCACAGCAGTCAAATGATAGAATGTTGTGTATGAGCAGCAACAGTTTGCAATCTTGGAAGGGAGATGCATCTTAATGATTAAAATAGCTTTCCCTGACAAGCTGAAATGTCAAAGCATTCAGCTGAATCAACTCATCAACTAAGCAAAGTTTCTAGGGAGCCATAGCAATGAAGACAGGTCAGTTCAAAACATGCTAGTCAAGGCAGGAATGCCATCAAACTGTTGCTTACCTTCTGACAAGAAATGTGTGCTTGATGATTATTAAAAAAAAATGCAAAATCTTAGAACTTTCCATTGCGCTGGCAATAACCAAGGTTACTTCAGTGACTCTCCATTTCTGGTTTATTCTTTGTGTTGCTAAGCTGTCATCCTAACAAAAAGTTGTTAAATGCTCACATGAGCACTCACTGAAATAGACTGTTCTTAATTTTACCAGACAACTAATTATAACTGGAATGATATAATGAAATATGGGAGAAAGTTAAAGACTGACAGGCCCAGTAAATTCCTAGTATAACCTTACCCCAGATATGCCAGAAGCGATAGATTTCAAATGCAACTGCACTCCTAAGAAGATAAAAAGGAGGGTGGAAGAGATAAAATATTGTTTTGAAATACTAATCAGAGATACACTATTTGTTGAATTATTTATAATCTCAAAAAATGTCACTTTTCAATCAGTCTTTGATGTACATTTAGGATGACTGAAATACAAGCTTTGTCAGAGGTAATGATAAAAGCAGAGGGTTTTTATCCTAAAATGTCTACACTGTGCTTCAGTATAAAAAATCTAATAAGCTTTATGGTAGAGGAGGTAAGGAAGAGAGGATATGGAAAATGCTGTGAATGGCAGTGGTTGAGAGAGCCAGAGTAAAAAGCCATTCTGAAAGCATTCTGTAATGCTATTTTCATAGACTAATATTCTCAGAATATCATAGGATTTTAAAGAAAAGCCATAAAATTCTGTTTTGTGTTCCTAAAGTCTCATTAACAAAAATCTTCCTCAGGCTTCCATTGCCCACCTTTCAGAAATCCTAGTAATGCAAAAATTTGAATTCAGGAAGCTAATAAATTAGGTCTATAATATTCATATTTTAAAA